GCTGACGGTCATTCAGAGACCTGGACCAATCCGCCATCCAGTTAGTTACACAGATCAGTAAGCCTGAGAAATGTCCACTCCTTCCCCGATTCTCCTGCATCTAGGGTTTGTGAGGAAGGTGGGGGTTCTTGCTCCAGTACTGTCTAAGGCATAATGGACAGAAGAATTCCTGTCTCAGCTCTCAGGATCGACCATTTTATTTCTTGTCTTCCAAATATGGCCTTCTGAGTCTGAGACCAGGTTAGGTTTTTATATAAATGATCTCTCTCAAGCTAACCAAACCTCACAAGAGGGAGGCTTTATTACTAACCCTATTTTTACAGAGAAGGAAGCCAACCTCTGCCTCATTTGACCAAAAGGAGTCAGTTTTCAACACCAGATCCCTGGTGTCACAACTCTCCCTGCCACCAAAAAAAAAAAAAAAACAGCAGCAACAACAGCAACAAAAAACACAGATGGTAATCTGTTCCGATTTTTGTACCTATCTTCATCTGTTTGCTGGAAATACTGACACCAGCCAAAACTTGTTTCCTGTCCTGGAAAGTAGGGGAGATTATGGATGGCTCTGTAGACAGCTGGTTAGATACCAGTGTGGCTTATTGATGGGTCAGATTGCTTGGTCCAAGTGACCTTTTCCTTTTGTCTGTCTCAGTCATTAAATATAGGAGCCCCTCCTCTCAAGCTCTCTCAAGCTGGCTGCAGAACAGATTTGAAATCCCTTCCCCCACTAGATAGGCTGACTCTAGATGAGGTGAATTTAAGTGTTGCTTAGCCTGAAACTTAAATAATTGGGGGCGTCCTCTTTAGGAAAAAGATGACAAAGTGACTCTGAGAACACATTGTTGGGACATTTGAAAGGGTCCCTGCAAGTGAGGTCTCTGAAGCTTAAGTTTTACTAGCTTCAGGGTAAATCTGTCCCTGCTTATTATGGTATATCATTATTTTGTTATTTGTTTGCTTTCTTCTAAACAAGAATTCCTGAGAACAGGACCTTTGCCTGTGATTCATCTCTGCAGCCTCCTCAATTTGATATGGTATAAAAATACACCTGAGGCCAGCATCTCATACCTTGCTGATGGGAAGGCAAAATGATAGATTTTCTCAAAGAAATTTGGCAAGATATAGCCATATTACATATGTATTTACCCTTTGACCCAGTAGGTCAGATCTTAGACTTCTTGAAACTTATCCTAGCAATATAGGCTAAAATACAGCAACACTATGTGCATTAATGCTCATATTTCTGATACTAAAGAACTGGTTAAATACAATACATACAGAGTGGAGTATTATGTGGCCATAAAAAGATATGGGGAAGATTTATATACTGATCACCATATTTATATGGTATGATCTCCATATATGTTGTTAGATGAATAAGCAAGATGTATATTAGTCTTATTTTGTGCTTGATATCTTCTGTGTGCGTAATGGGGAGAGAAAAATATATTAATTACTCGTATTTAAAAGACAAACAATGGCATAAATCCCAGATTTCTAAAATGGTTGCCTATGAGCAGATTGGGGATAAGGATGCAAATGAGACTTCTGTGAACGCACCTTAGTTATTATTCTGGAGACTTATAAATGTTTTTGCATATTTGTAAAATAGTTCAAAAAAAGCATGAAACACTACATGAAAATTAAAAACACCTGAAAATGAACCATCTATCTTTCAGATTGGTGGCATAGCCACTTCAAGAACATTATTTCATATGGCTTTAGAAGTATTTTGACTATACCACCCTAATGAGATATAGTCCAAGAACAATTAAAACAGCATAGAAATACAATTATATTCGTAAGTTTTATTGTTAGTTGTAATATTGGTATTGCTGTTTTGAAATTGATACTGTGAGATAAAGTAAATAAGTGATGATGTTAATAGCATTGGGAACCAAGATTTTTTCAATATATGAGAAAAAGTATAAAAGAAGCTTAAGGTAAACATCTGAATTAGGTAGCAGTAAAAAATATGCATTTTTCTCTTAAGAAATGTGTTTTTCAGCTCTCCTGAAAAGGCCCACAAACAATGACCAACTCAGTAGTGATGAACAGATACTCTTCAAGCACAGATTTGTCTCTAAGATCCATTTTCTAGGTTTTTGTTGTTGTTGTTGTTGTTGTTGTTGTTGTAGTTGTAGATGGACAGTATGCTTTTACTTTATTTGTTTATTTTTAGGCGGTGCTAAGGATGGAACTCAGTGTCTCATGCATGCTAGACAAGTGCTCTGCTGCTGAGCTACAGCCCCAGCCCTCCATTTTCTAGTTTTAAAAAATTAAAATAAAGTCTTGGTAATTGTCAGACTCCAGATCTGGAGCAGGAAAGATAAATTTGGGTCATCTTATGCCTGGAAGCCAGGAAACTATTAAAGACGGGGTACATGCCAAAGAACCAATCTAAGGGGGCCCCACTGAGCAAAGATGGAACAATTAAGCACTAAAAGAAAAAGAATTGCTTCACTAGATTTTAACACATAAAACTTGTAAAAATCCATGAACTTATAATTACACATAAGAAAAGCAACTCATTCGTTACCACCAGCGTAAGGGGAAATAGTTATTTTTCTGTTTTTTTATGTATTGTATTCCAGGTAAGGAAATAGTAAGTAAGAAAAGGTTACTTTCTGTAGAAGAATTCCAACTAATGAACACAGAAGAAATGATAGTTCCATAAAAGCAGTTTTTCAAATGGTGATGAAATAATGAGTCCGGGCAATGAACATTAAATGATGCTAAAACAATTGGGTGAAAGTTGTTTTTTCTTTTTTTTTGTAACTGTAATGAATGCAGAGTTTAGGCTAACATTTGTCTGAATGCACTGACCAATTTTTAAATCACTTAGATGGGGACACATTTGTCTCCATGAAGTATTCTTGCCTTAAAAATGAAAGAATCTAAGCCTGTCAAGCCAAAATCTGATGACCCGTTCAGCAGAATTATAGGGAATGGACAAGGACCACAATCGGGCAAACTCAAAATGTGGGACCTTCTGTATGACAGGTCTCCTGGCTTCTCCAACACAATCACGGCTTTAAATTACAAAGGGAGAATAGAGTGTTAAAACCTAAAGCTCAACAGACTTGCCAAATGCCGTAATATCATTTAGATCTGGATTCTAGTGAACTGACAGTCAAAAAACATCTTTGGTACAATTTGGAAATTTGAACTGAACTTAATTTGTAGATTAAATTCATGGTGCTTGTGGAATGAGTCTTTTCCAACTGGAGCAGCCCACTGATGCACAATGGGTGGAATGAAATGAGGCCTGGGATGTACTCAAGCAGCGCAGCAAAGAGGAAGATTGGCAAAAGAGTGATCCTTGTTAAAACGCATTTATGGGTACATGAGGTTCGTTATACCACTCAATTTGTGTGTGTGAATTTTTTCTAAAAGAAAAAAGACAGAGGCTGGGGATCTAGCTTAGTTGGTAGAGTGCTTGCCTCACATGCACAAGGCCCTGAGTTTAATCCCCAGTACCACAGAGAAGAAAAAAAAAAAGGAAGAAAGAAAGAAAAGAAAATGTTCAAAACATGAAATGCCTGCTTTGGCCAGGTAGGAATTTAGATGTAGCACTCCTGCCCTCTTGTGGCAGGTTTCATTAGTGCAGTTACTGCCCCTGCCTTCCTAAAACAGGTCTGAATTCCAGGTATGGTCAAGTCCTTTCTTTGTCTTACCAGAGCCCAAGAAGTGAATAATACTAGGATAGCGTTTTTATAGCTGAAGAAACAGAAACTCAGGAGGACTGGATAACTGAGGTTACTAAAAAGTCACTGCCAGAGTTAAACTCCTCGAGCCTTTGGGCTGATTCCAGGTCTCAAGCCCCATAAATCACTGTGATTCTGAACATTATTTTTTCTGTCCACAAAACAGATCACATGGTCAAATAGAAACGCCCCCAGTTAGAGTGCATCCACAGGAAGCAGGTTATCAAGGAGCCATTTCACACATAAACTGTAGATAAATTAATAGAAGTAGGTAATATAAATAAAAGTTAATATTCAGAGATGGTCACCTCCAGCTTGGTACGCATGTGTAGCCAGTGGAGCTGGTTCCCTTTGTCATCTCCTTTAAGGTGACACTCTCTTCTGATGTGTCCTTGAGAGAGTCTAGAGCAAGGGTAAAGGCTTGTGGGCCTGGATGCCCTTGACCTGCACGCAGAATCTTCTCTCTGGGTGTTCCCTGATTGGTCACCTGTATAAGGCTCACCTCCTGTCCCGCAAAGAGAATGGCCAGTAGAACAAGAAGAGGGCCGTGTTCAGAGTATATAACATCAGGATCCTGGGAAACTTTGTTTTTCAAAATTTTAAATTCTTTTTAGATATGCATGACAGTAGAGTGTATTTTGACATACATACATGGAGTAAAACTTATTCTAATTAGGATCCTACTCTCGTGGTTGTACATGGTGTGGGGTTACACTGGTGGTGTATTCAAAACTTTCATTCTACTATCTTTCCCATTCCTACCTCCCTTCCCTTCCCTTCATTCCTCTTTATCTAATCCAATAAACTTCTACCCACCCCTCAATTGTGAGTTAGTATTTTCATGTCAGAGAGAACATCCAGCCTTTGGAGATTTTTGGATTGGTTTATTTCACTTAGCATGATAGTCTCCAGTTTCATCCATTTACTAGCAAATGCCATAATTCCATTCTTCTTTAAGGTTGAGTAATATTCCATTGTGTATAAGTACCACATTTTCTTTATCCTTTAATCTGTTGAAGGGCACCTAGGTTGGTTCCATAACTCAGCTATTGTGAATTGAGCAGCTATAAACATTGATGTGGTTGCATCAATCACAGTAGTATACTGATTTTTTAAAAATTTTCTTTCTTTTTCTTTGGTACTGGATTGAACCCAGGGGCACTTAACCACTGAGCCACATCCCCAGCCCTTTCTTATGTTTTATTTAGATATGTGTCTTGCTGAGTTGCTTAGTGCCTCACTGAGTTGCTGAGGCTGACTTTGAGCTCCCAATCTTCCTGCCTCAGCCTCCTAAGCCACTGGGATTATAGGCGTGCACCACTGCAACTGGCTATAGAATGCTGATTTTAAGTCCTTTGGGTATATACCAAGGAGTGGGATAACTGGGTCCAGTGGTGGTACCAGTCCAAGTTTTCTGAGGACTCTCAGTGCTTTTCAGAGTGGTTGCACCAAGATCCTGGGAAACTTTGGAAATGCACCCCCCAAAACTAATCAAAGCTCCCATGTGGCTTTGAGGCTGAAAGGGAAATGGATTGCAGCCTTATATCCGGAAGAAGAAAATGATTGGAGATCGAATGTTCACTGATGACTTGCACAGCCTTACCCAACGGACCAGCTACCTCTATAAACCCCTTAACCCACATGAGCAGTATCTTTAGAACAGAAAGCTGGGAACCGGGGAAGAGGCACATCAGTCACCCTGGAGGGGAAAGAACTTTTCCCTATGAGGAAAGGGCTTTGTATGCTCTCTCTAATAAAATGAGGCTTCTTTGGAGTCTGCAAAAAAAAAATACAGTTAACATTCATATTTCTTCCTGTACCAGGCTCTGCACAAAGCACTGTCAGTTCTCAATCTCAGGGAACTTGCGCAGCTGTGAGGCATGAACCACTTGCCTTCTGACGCCGAGGAAACTCGGGTTCTGAGAGGACTGGACCAGAGTCACATTGCTGGAGAACGTCAGGACTTGAACTCAGGTCTGATGACGATGCCCAGGTGGCACAATGATTTTGTTTTCGAGAGGGGATCTTGCTCTGTGGCCCAGGCTGGACTTTGAACTCCTGAGCTCAAGGGACCCTCCCACCTCAGTCTCCTGAGTAACTGGGGCCGGTACAGGTGCATTCCCCGGCTCCTGGCTCCATGTGGTGTGTTTGTGTCTGTCTGTCTGTTTAGAGGAGGCAAAGTTTATTTGGGGTTGCCGGTTTCAGAAGCCTCCATCCGTTGGGGCCTGACTCCATTCCTTGGGGCCTGAAGTGAGATAGAACATCATGGTGGGAGTACGCGGTGGAGGAAAGCGGCTCAGGACCCGGCAATCAGGAAGCAGAGAGGTACGCTTTTTAAAGCTTTATTTTTAGAGCATTTTGTGGAAATTACAGAGAGTTCCCATATCCCCCTGTCCTCAAGGTACATCATAGTTCCCACTCCCACCAGACTGCTATCTCTCTGTAGAAATTTGGAGGTAATCATTGCTTTGTGGGGGACCAGTCCCCTCACAGCCCGTCAGGAGGTGTTGACAAAGTGCCACAATAAAATCATTAAGGATGAGTGGCCAGGCCTCCCAGCGAGTGAAGGGGGGAGCAGCTCCTGGATGCAGGAGGAAGCCTCCTCAGTGTCCCCCTCTCTCCTGCCCAGGCCGGGGAGCCCCAGGCCCATCTTTGCAGCCCCATCTGCAAAATGAGGGGGTCTGACTAGCTCATCTCTAGGGATTTTTCCAGCTCTGGTGTTTGAGTCTTCAGTCTGCCCCCTCCACTGTGCTTAGATCCAAAAGTCTGAAACGTCTGTTTCTGATGCGGCCCTCAGACAAGTGACGCAGAGGCCCAAGAAGGTCGTGTGCTAGATTTAATTTTAGCTTTGGAAGGGTCCTGGTGGTCTCCTCAGTGAAGACCGAGGACACTTGGAGCAGCTGATTGTGGCCTACACCCTCTGATGGAGGCTCGAGAGTTTCTGGGGGCATCCCCACCTGAAAACCATGGTGATGAAGGGTTAAAGGCTTCAAGGAAGGGTCCCAAGGGCATCTCAAACGGAGGAGTCAGCCAACTCCTCAGCAGGTTCTGAGAGGCTTGGGCTTCCTCTGTCTTCTCTGGATGCTTCTGTCACAAGGACAGGAACTCAACTCCAGTTGACTTTAATGGAATGCTTGGTACCTGTGCCAGAGCAGAATGGAGATGGGAGGGCTAGCTTCAGGAAGGGTTTAATTCAGTGGCTCATAGGTCATCAGAGTCAGTTTCCTCTCTTCCACCTCCCATGAAGTTCACCTCCTCTTATGGCTGGTGTATTAATCACTTTTTCATTATATTAGCAAAATGCCTGAGTCAGGCTTCTTTATAAATAAAAGAGTTTTATTTTGTCTCATGGTTCTGGAGATACAAGGGCATGGCACAGTCTCTGGTGAGGGTCCCCTGGGCTGCAGTACCTGGGTATTTCTGTATTTTTCCTTTTGTGACTGCTTCCTTTACTTAGCAAAATGTCTTCAAGTTTCATGCATGCTATAGAAGTGTCAGAATTTCATTCCTTTCTAGGTGGAATAATATTTCATTGTATGTGCTTACCACATTTGGCTCATCATTCCATCCATTGACTTTTGTCTATCTATTCATTCCTCTCCAGATATACCACCCTCCAGGAATTTCAATGTGTTTGGCTATCTGGAAGTTTCCAGAACCCTGACCTTTGGATTTTTATGGAGTCTTCATTCATCTAGACTTCAAAACCTCTGCTTTCTAGGGAATACAGACTGAGCTATGAGGAGATTTTCTGATTGTCTTTTGGCTTCCCTGTGCCAGTCTTCGGTTACTGTGGTTTCATTTCCTCAACTGCTGCATTTATCTCTGTATCTCCTGAGCCCGAGACCTGCTTTATGATGGCATCCGACTCCATGGCTTGGTCATTGTCAGTCTTTGATGAAAGGTGAGGCCCCTCTCAGCGTGCTGCAGAGCAGAGCTCTGACATGGCAAACTGAATCCCAAGCTTCTGTTGTGGTGACTTTGCCCACAGCTGCGTGCGTCCTTCTCAGGCAGTTCAGACTTCTCATGGAGATGCCCTTCTGCACCCTGGGTCATCTGGTGAGTGCTAGAGCTAACCCAGGGCTGGGAGAGGGTAGGTGCTGGAGTCTCTGGTTCCACCCTGGACCCAGGGTTTGCTCCTCCCACTGGTACCTCTATTCACTGCTGGCAGCGCTGCACAAACCTTTAAGAAAGTGGCTGTCAGGGTTTTCCAAGAACCGTCTCAACAGTCAGTCCTGCTTCTGAGAGTCTAGCGTTAGGAAATAAAATGTGACACTCAATATAGCATTATTGATGATGACAAATTAAAGGCAAAATATGTGCCAACAGTACCATTGGTCCTCTGTGGCTGCAGGTCCCCTTCCATGGATTCAATCAACTGCAGATGGAAAATATTTGAAAAAGTTCACAAAGCCACGCTCTAAGCGTCACATTGAATCCACGTGACTGCAGCCATGTGTCTGCTGACCGTGTGGGAGCCTTCTGCCCGCTCCCAGCCCCTCAGTCTCCCTCCAGCTCCAGGTGTTGAGCATTTCTCCCTTGTTCCTAGATGCTGCACAGTTAGGCCTCCCAGGGCTACATCTGTACAGAATGTGTACAGATCTTTTCCTCGTCTCTGTTCCAATATAATAACTATTGACACATCATTTACATTGCATTTAGTATTACACATAATGTGGAGTTGACGCCAAGTACATGCGAGGATATCGTAGGTTATGTGCAAACACTAGGCCATTTTATCTAAGGGACTTGAGCATCGGCAGAGTTCGGCATCCTTGGGATCCTGAATCCATCCCCAT